ATTTCAGTCTTACAAGCCCCCACAATGGCATGAGCTAATTTCTTAAAATAAATTTATCAACAGATGGATGATGATGATAGAGATAGCTAGATAGACACACACACACATGCACACGCACAGGTTCCGTTGGTTCTGTTTCTCTGAGAACCCTGACTAGTATGTTACAGGCCAGTCTTACTCAGGGAGAAGGACCGTGGTTCCTCGAAGGCAGGAACCACAACGTGCCGCTCTATCCACTTCTCCATGTCTCCCCAGCACCTAGTGTGACACAGCGTTTACGAGACTCCTCCATGAGGCCTCGACGACCTGACTGATAAATCAACAAATATCTCTGGGTCTCCTTGCATTTAGACCCTTCACAGCTGTGCAAGAAAGAGAAAAAGAAAACCTGTCTGTGCCCCAGGTTTCCAATCTGTTTCCTTTAAAACCAATGAAGTTTGCATTACACGGGAGCCTCTTGGAGACAGCAGCCTTTATCCCATTGAAACTGAGTCTGTAAATGCAAAACATTTAAAAAAAATAACGAATTGGTATTTGATATTCCTATATTTCAATATTCCTTTGATATTCCAATATGAAACTTAAACTGCTGGGGTTTTATGCATTCTTCGTTCTTTCCTTTGATTTGGCACAACTCGTTGCTTTGAATATGTTCGCTTTAATCACTGGACCATGGAGCAGGAGGGACGCGCATCTTGTTTGGGGAGGGGCTGGGGGCGCCGCCATCTGGGCCCAGAAAATGACTGCCTTCTGCGAATCACAGACTCCTTCTGCTGGAACCCGGCTGGAGGGATTGCCAGGCCCACGGGGAGGGGCGGACCCCCTGGCCTTGCTCCAAGGGGGACACTCAAGCCTCTACCTTACAGTTCAAAGGCGGAAAAGCAGAAAGAGCAGCTGCAGGAGGGCCCCTGGCAGGTGCCAGGACCAGGCGCAAGTTGCCAGGACATCTGACTGGCAGCTGATGGGGAACATGAAGTGCAGGCAAGGGGGCTGGGGGGGTAGGGACATGGGTGAATCTACCCTCATTAAGCTAGGCAGCCCAGGTCCTACAGAGAAGACGTGACTTTGATCACCTCAGTGAGGGTGACAGTGACAATGTCGACGATACAGTGGGTAATGATATAGCTACAATAGCCCGCGTTTGTCAAGCACTGACTTTACGCCGGGTACGAGCTCAGCTCTTGAGATGGATTGTCTCGTTTTAGTCTTAAAATGGGGTCTCCATTTGCAGACCCCAAAAGCAGACCCTGAGACGAGGACTTGGAGCCAGTGGTTCGTTTGGAGATTGTCCCAGGAAGACCAAATAAGGGGTTGAGGAGCAGAGCGGGGCAGGAAGGGTGTGCTAATGAGCGATCACCGCTACAGCCGTGGAGGCTCCACGGGGCTGGGCACCTTCTGGGAAACCACGGAATGCCCCTCCAAATTGTCCCATCGGAGGCCACGGAGGTGGCGCCTCTTCCACTGACCCTTACCCCTGTTGGCCGAGGGTTTCTCCCAGGGCTCTAACTCCCCTGCAACAATGAGTTGCAATCGCCAGCTGGGTTCAAACCCTCCCGGCGACCTGGAGCCAGATCATACTCTCAGGCAGAGAGCCACAGGGGAACCCAGGCCCCGCCGCAGGGGAAGCACCCTCAGCTGGAAACCATCCTCTGCAGGTGAACTCGGAGACGAGCCAAGGAGACGTGCAGCTGGATCAACAGAATCTGCCGCAACACTTTTCAGATAATTTTTTATTAACCACGTTGCCACAGCTGAGACTGAAGCTTAGAGGAGTGGCCAGACCTTGTGCAAGTTTGTCCGGCCAGGAAACATACATAAACCTCAGCAAATATTTACTCGCTACCGACCGTGTATCTGACGTGGTCCGAATGCGGGAGAAATAGATCTGATTAAGACACAGCCCATGTCCCCACGGGTGTCCCCAAAGATGTCAGGCAGGATGTAAGCAAGCAAACCCCCAGTCCTGAGTGACAAATGTCACCTAAAGGGAAGCACAGATGTAACACCGGGGAAGGAAGAGGCTCTGAACCCCGCCAGGGAGCATCCTGGAAGAGGCGATGGCTGTTTTGTGAGTGGATTTTGCTGTAAACAAGTTTATTTCTACATAAAAGATTTCTGTTCGTTACAGAACGGTTAGAAGATATCTACAAGCAAAATGAAGCTGGTACTACGTCAGGCATGCCCCGACTTGCGCAGGACCCTCCTGATGGCCGGCGTCCTCCCGGCCGTGGGTCACAGTAAACCTACCAGCCGTCTGGCAGGAGGAGCCCACGGCCAGCGCCGAGGACCGTGAGCTCCACAGGCAAAGTGGCGGAGCTTTCAGCAGGGAATGCCCACCATCACCCTTCCCTGGGGAGGAGGAGTGAGAGCTGTGCTCATGGAGGGGGGTGTGTGTCTGAGCATGTGTTTGCAGGAGTGCGTACGAGCACTTGGGAGCACGTGGAACTGTGCATGGGAGCACGTGTGCATGGAAGCGTGTGAGAGTGTTTGAACAGACATGTGTGGGCATAGTGTGGGGTGTGAGTGAGCACCTGAGTGTGGGGGTGCAGCCAGCGGTGGTGGGAGTGGGAGCCTGGGGCGGAGGACTGGGAGGAGGGAGGGGTCTGAGTGTGATGGCTAGTGCCTGAGGTAGGTGGGGTCTGGCCAGCCAGGAGGACACACACAAGGAGTTCCTGCCACTGCTCGGCCCCCTGCCTTGCCCTGAGCTCTGCAGAAGGCCCAGGGACCAGGAGCGGCAAGTGGGACCAGCATGGGGACCAACAGGCCACCCAATGCCCCCCTTCTAGACAGGCAAGATGGGCCACACTGCCCAAGGCTGTGTCTAAGGAAGATCTTGCTGTCACCTAGGCCAAGGTGGGGCGGGATGGAGCTGTCACTGTCCAGGGAAGTGTTTGCCTGCACCGCCATGTCTCCAGGACAGCGCCCCTGGGAGGGGAACTGGGTCATCACACATCCCATCCCAGAAGAAGGACCCCACTGGCAAGCCGCACAGACCTGGACATCAGCTCCGGCCTGGCCCGGCCCCCAGGGCCCCCGGGTCAGTTAGCACCACACTTTCTTGTGCCCAAACGCCTCATTTGTTCCACTAAAGGTTTCAGCCTCGGCCGGGAAAACCAGCTCCAGCCTAAACCCACGGCTGAGCCAGAGCCTCATCCTTCGCTTCTCTTTAAACAGTGCCTACCATGGCCTCGGGCTGCCGGAGTATTTACAGGACACACGCAAAATCAAACAAACATTCGAGGAAAGGAATGTGGCCCAGACTGGGGCAGGGGTCCCCAAGCCTTTGCCCTCCCAGATAGTTTAGGAACAAGGAGTGGGCACAGGCAGGGGAAGCATGCGTGATGTGTGCATGTCAGGACGGGGTGGGGGGCGGTACATGGAGTCAGGGGAGGGATGTTGGGGCCGTGATCTCAGGACCATCCCCACCCTACGTCCCCCTGACCTGCTCCTCACAGCCGTGGACCCTCACTTTAAATGTGAGAGCAGCACAGAGCGGATGGGAGCAGCCTTTGTGTGTGTTAGTCAGTCCACTTATCCTGCCTGGCTCAAAAACCAAAAAGGCTTTGGAGCAACATGAAAAGATACATAAAGCATAATATAAAAAAGATGTGAATCAACCAGCCAAAGGGCAGGAGGAACGAGGCGAAACCCTGAGTCAGAGCAGAGATAGTGACAAGGCTGAGCCCCGGACACTTCAGCCATGGTGGGCTGCAGGTGAGGCTTGCACCTTCCACGGAGCCAACCTTCCTCTGAAGTCGTTTCACCAAGAACCACATCCATAAGAAGGATGGAAATGGGGCTGCTCGGGGTGCAGGAGAGAAGCACTCAGGAGCCTGAGCTCGCCCCCTCTGTCCCCCTAGCCCCGCAGCTGCCCTGAGCCACCCTCGGACCCCCAGGCTCCAGATGCCAGCCTCTGGAAACCTCTGCACTGCTGAGTTCAGTCTCCTAGGCATTCACGGGCAAGCCCAGCTGGAGCCAGGGACAGCTCAAGCTCTACCTGGGACCGAGGCAAGAGAGAACTGCCCCCCGGGTCCTCATGGGACACGCCGCCACGAGCCGAATGGTGTCCTCATAACATTCTGACAACAGAGAAGTAGCTTCTAGGGCCTCTTACCTGGCCGTTGGGGCCCCCGCAGCACCAGGCACCTCTCCCTCCCACAAGATGGGCCCCATGCTCCTCCACTTGTCACAGAGGAGGATGTGGAGGGTGACATCCTGGGGCTCAAATCCACACCTGGCACTGCCACCTCTCTGAAGGGCTGTCCTTTGGAAAAGGGAGAGGCTGGTCCAGTGGGTCCCCAAACCACAGAGCTGAGACCCGGTGGGCCAGCCATGCCAACAGCTATGTCCACAAATCAGAACCACCCACAGACGAGTAGGCTCCCTTGTCACCAGGAGCAGCACAGGAGACCAGAGGCCGCAGGCTCGGGGCTCCCACCCACCCTGAAACCCTGTGCACCCAGAGCTGGAAGGGTTTCTCCCTCCGCCTCCCCTTCCGCTCCGCACATGCGACGCCCACGCAGGAGCTTCCGCGCTGGCCCGACCGGGTGCCCAGCCACTCCCTGAGGTCATCCAGACCCCACACCGCTCATGAAAGCCCAGCCACGACTGTTCACTACCAGGGCACAGGGTGGAAGGGATATTTTTCTCTGACTGCTGGCCTTACAAGGGACGTCCTGCCTTTATGCCCACGGTATACGCGTCACTGATGGGAATTCTTCTGTTTCACGGTTTGCGCTGTCAGAGGGTAAAATCTGACGCACAGCAAATGTCTCTGAGTTCCCCAATAACAACCCCCAGGAGAGCACGCCGAGGAAGTTACATGCTACCAAATAATAAAACATCTCCCTCAACTTTCACAAGCTTTGAACAGCAGAGAGACCACCGGGGGCCCAGGAACACCTTCAGACAGGACCCGTCTGGCTCGTCCTGCCTGATTCACAGTGACCTAACACGTCACCGGAAGGGGTGGCCGGGCCAGGAAGCCAAGCACAGCCAGATTCCCTCGATACAGAATGCCATCAACTAAAAGATTTAACATCACTTCTGGGGGGACAAGAACCCTGCAAGACTAAGAACACACACAGAAGCAAGATGTGTCCTGGCTTCAAAAATGCTGAGGAGAGGGAGGGTGGAGAAAGAGCATCCATCTCCAGTGAAGGCAATATGGTAAGCTGCTGCCTTTGGACCTGCACAGTCTTGGTTTCCAACCCCTTTCCCTGGGGGCACACTTTTTAAGGCCCCAGCGGGCATTGTGTCCTATAAATCACGCACTGTAACAATGATAGAAGCAATGCTCCGGCCCGATGCATCAAAGGGCCCCAGGCAGTCTCGTCTGTCCCCTGAGGCCCCTGCACCGTGCCCCCATGCCCCGCAGCCGCCCTGCAGCCACCCTGCACTGTCCACGTGTCCCTGGAGGTGGGATTCAAGGAGAGAGAAGAAATTAACGAGCCCTAATGGAGCACAGGCGTGCATCAGGCCCTTGCCAGACGCTGGCGTGATGAGGCTGAACCTCTGCCCTCCGAGAGGAGATGAGACGATGCAACTGTGGAGTGGCTGCTGCCTCTGCCACTGCGCCAGGTGCCGTGCACGTGCCATCCCATTTGGTCTTGCAACGGCCCCCCAGATCTTGTTTATACCCGTTCCACTGATGAGGAAACGGACCCAGTGAATGCAAGAGCCAGAATCTGAACTCAGTCAGTCTCCCAGAACCCGTCCGTGCTCTCTGCCACCGCAGGTAGCACTTTCCCCATCACCCGCAGGCCAGCGCAGCTTCCTGCCCACCACACCTCCACCCCCTCCACACACAGGTCACCTCAGCTCCCCTCCTGAGCAGCAACCTCTCCAATCTTAATTCACACTGGCAAAGGCTTAGGACAGGCCACCACAGTCATGGTCACAGGAGGCCAATGTGACCTCCCAATGAATCTTCTGGGATCTCTTCTCACCTCCTGTGGTCCAATATCCACCGTGCAGCCGGTGCTGTCTGTAAAACACAAACCGTACAATGCCTGTCCCTGTTTAAAATGCTCTAAAGGCTTCCCCTTGCCCTGGAGATAAAACGCTCTGCCTCCGAGGACCCAGATGATCTGGCCTACCCTCGCCTCCGACTCCTGGATCATGTTTCAGCACTTCTGCCTTCCATCCATTCTTCCCACGCGTGCACTTCTTTCCAGCCTCAGAGCCCTTGCACATGCTGTTCCCGGGCCTGGAATGCCATTCCCCACAAGCCAATGCCTCTTCATCTTGCTCACGTGAGACTGCCAAAACCACCCAAAGTTGCATTCTCTCCCAGAATCCCGCTCTTTTCCTTAAAGCCGTTCTCACAATTTATAACTATATATTTTCCTATTTATTTATTAAATGGCAGTCCCCTCCCCTGAGCCATAAGCTCACGGACATCTGGAATTGGGGCTCTTTTGTGCTGCTCATGCCGCATAAAGTCAGTGCCAAATAAATGTGCTGACAAAACATGTGAATTAGGGACTAGGAAGAGCATTGCTGTTGACCACGGTGTGTCCTCCACCGACCAGGATGAGGCTGAGTCATTCCTTGTCACCGTGTCTAGGACAGCCACCACCCATTGGGCAGACTTGGCAATTTTGTTTGAACAAACTGTGGTCCCCCCGGGCCGCAGACTCCTCCTCAGTGGTAAAAAGGAACAAACTGGGCTGGATCTCCAGCGCATTACGCTGAGTGAAAAAGCCGTTCTCAAGGGTTACTATACCGTGTGTCCCCCCGTATATAGCATATTCCATGTGACCCAACTACAGAGATTGGAAAAGATCAGAGGTTCCGGCTCAGGCACAAGGAGGGCGGGCGTGACCATCTGGGAGAAGCTGGAGGAAAGATCCTTAAGGTGAGTGGTCTGGATCGCCAGCCTGGTGGCGGTTACACGAATCTACACGTGGGAGAAAAGGTCGTGGAATGACACACAAAGAGGTACAAGAAATAAAACCACATGAACGCATGTCAAATCTGGTGGAAGCCGAGCGAAGTCTGTATCTCGGTCACTGCATTGTGCTGAACAACGCCCCAGTTTCTTCGAGCCTGCGCTGCAGTCAGGAAAGATGTCGCCGCTGGGGGAAGCTGGGAGAAGGGGACCCAGGGCCTCTCGGTAGCGCTTTTGCAACTTCCTGTGAGTCTATAATTATACTTCAAAATAAAAGGTAAAAAAAAGTAACAATTTGAAAAGATGGAACTCATGGGCGGCCCCGGCTCAGACTCTCCATGCCCACCGTTCCTCCCTCCTTCCTTGGGACGCCAGGTGATACCTGCCCGCGGTGGCTGCTTCTCAGCCAGGAAAACTGCAGGCGACCCAGAGCCATGGACCAGTCACCCCGCTCCCGTCCATGGCAGGGAGTGGAAGCCCCCGGCCCACCCCTCTGGAACGGTTGGGTAACGCACGCATAAGTCAGGCGCCCTCCCCGGTGCCTCATTTTTGCACCAGATTCCGAGGGAGGACCCTGTATGTTTCCAATGTGATCTGAGGTGTGAGAAGAGAAAATGCTCCTCACAAAGTTGTTGCTGACGCTTTTGGACGCTCGAAGCTCAGCACCCTGCCTCTACATCTCAAAAAAGGCATTTGGGGAGATGGCCACATGCAGAGCCCGTGCTGAAAACCTTCCTGGTTGACCCATCCCAAACAACCTAGAGAAGAGGAACCTTCAGTTGAACCGTCTTGTCCCAAAGAGGCCCAACCTTGTATCTACCGACTGTGCCGCAGGCCACAGGCAGCGGAGCCGCTGGTTTTCGTTAGGGGCGGAGACCGTGCCAGCGTTGCTGCCCTTGGACCCGAAGATGGATGCACAGGAGGCCTGATGGGTTTGCGGCTCAGGGAGGAGATGGCAAGCCTGGTTTGAGTTCGGGCCAGATTCTGGTGGGGGAAAGCAAAAAAAAGAAAGTTGGCTCCCGACTTGTGGCCACACAGCAAGCAGGGACTGCGTCTCCCCTGAAACAAGGCTGTGGGTATGGTGTTGTCTTAACCCTTGGCTAGACCTGGCACTGACTGTCTACACAGGCAAATAGCTGGTGGAGACCAGGGTTCTCCCAGGTGAGTGGGGTCACTGAATTGGCCTGGTCTAGGGGGAAGAGCAGTGGAGGAGGAGTCAGTGGGGTCCTAATCTCAGCTCTGCCCCTGATTCACCACGTGACCCATGGGGAGTAAGCCCTTCCCCTCCCTGGGCCTCAGTTTCCCCCCTCCAAAGGGCTCTGACTTCTGAGGTTCTCGTCAGAGCTGGACATTTACCCGCACCAGGGTTTCTCAATCACGGCCCTGTGGACACAGAGCCAGACCACTCTTTGCTGTGTGGGGCTGCAGTGAGCATTGTATGATCTTTAGCAGCATCCCTGGCCTCTACCCACTGGACGTCAGGAACAATGACCCTCCCCACACACACAATGTAATAACCAAAAATGTCTCCAGACATTGCAAATGTCCCCTGGGGGGTAGGATTGCTCCTGGGGAGAACCTCTGCCCTGGATTCGCGAACACTCAAATCCAGGAGGAGCGAGGAGTCCAGCTCCCGGCCTGGTGGGGGAAGCCCCGTCCACCTTCTCCATCAGACTGTCTTCCTCCCATCTCTGCTCCAACACCTGCACTGGGAGCGTCGCCGTAGAGTCCTTCCCTCCAGGACAGCGCTCCTCATTCAGACGGCTCTGGATGGAGCTGCAGCGTCCACTGCTGTTTGGAATCATCCAGAACCGGGCCAGGCCTCCCCCCGTGTTCCAGGCCATTGGCTATTTGAAGAGAACCATAATTTCCTTTCTCTTTTCCAATGCCACCCTCGGGGGGAGGGCAGGCGTGAGACAGGGAGGACTGAAGCGGAGGGGAGGCAGGTGACCTGGAGGCCCCGAGAAGGGAAGGCCCACGCGCTGCCCCGGAGTCTGACTAGAAATGGCACCTGCCTGCAGGTGACAGATCTGCTCCCTCCCTCTGAAGTTACTGCCTGACCCCGGGGCCTCTAACAGCTTCCCTGGGCACAGTGCGTTCGCCTGCCCTGGGCCCATGCGAGGCCCCAGAGATGCTAACAAACACCCAATGCTGTACAGATGGGTGAGATTCCTTCCCGGCTCTTCTCTCTCCCTACAGACTTTTTATTGCACCTAAAATCCCCTGATCTGGGATAAGAAATAGTCACAAACTACCCAGGACAGGTGGCACATCAAGGCCTTCATGTCAGCAGGGATAAATCCTTATCAAAGGAGCCCTCCTTGAATCACTGCCAGCCCAGCCCATCCCCTCTCCCCACTCCGCCTTCCTCCTTAGACTCACTGTCACCAGGCATGGAGGGTGCATCGTATTTCTGTATCCCATTCGTTGTCAGTCTTCCCCCTTCACTGTCAGCTCCACGAGGGCGGGGGGTCTTTGCCTTATTCACCACTGTCTCCCCAGCAACTTGACAGGGCTGCCCCAAGCAGATGCACAATACATTTTGTTGCAAGGATGCAAGAACACTGATGAGTCTCCGTGGGGGAGGAGCAGATGGCAGTCAGCAAAGCAAAAACGGAGGGGCCCGCCTGTGGCTTGAAGATGCCCCGCCCCGAGCTGGCGTGGGGAGGGTAGGGGTGAAATAGACGTCTCGAACATTGATGCTGGGGCAGAAGGAGAAAATTAGCGACTGCTGAAGCTGGCAGCAAACTTAGAGGTCACACAGTGTGATAATCAATATATCCATCAGCTATTGTGGTCACATAAATTAATGCATTAATCAATATATAGATACAAATTTGAAAAGTATTTAATTTATTCTAGTATATGCATATGTATACAAACCAGATGATATTAGTTATAGTAGAAATTACTCAACAAACCATTCTAACAACTTCCCAATGATGGTTGGCTTTTGGCAGTTGTTGGCTGATCTTTTGGAATGGCTGTTGCTAACTAAATGACAGCCCTGTCTGAGCCGTGATTGACACTGGGAGCCCCCGTCTAGTCAGCTCAGGCTGCTGCCATGAAATCCCACAGACTGGGTGGCCTCAACACAGATATTCAGTTCACACAATTCCGGAGGCTGGAAGTCCAAGATCAAGGGGCCTGCAGACTTGGTTCCTGAAGAGGCCCCTCTTCCTGGCGTGTAGGTGGCTGCCCCTTCTAACCGTGTGCTCACATGCCCTCTTCTTGGTGTGTGAGCAGAGAGAGAACTCCAGTGTCTCTTCTTCTTAAAGGAACATGAATCCCATCATGGAGGATCCACCCTCATGACCTCATCTAAACCTCCTTACCTCTCACAGGCTCTGCCTCCTAATGCCATCACGTTGGGCGTTAGGGTTTCAACATAGGAATCGGGGAGCACACAAATACTCAGTCCATAGCAGCCCCAAGCTCTTCCAGGGGCCTGCCCACCTGGAGCCATTAGGACCCTGGTGCCTGGCCCTGTGCTGCAGCCAGCAGGTGGACAGAAGAACCACTGCTGTGACCCAGCCACACACACCGCTGGACACCTGACCCTGTCTGACCCTGTCATGTCCCCGACCTCATCCCCATTGCTGTCCCCTCATGCCTGCCTCCCAGCCTTGGCCTGCTGTGCCCCCTCACTAGAAGCCTCTTCTCCTAAATGCTTCCACGGGCTTTTCATGGAAAACTCCTCCAGGTTTTCACTCAAAGGTTAACTTCTCAGCTAGCCTTCCTTGGCCACCATCCTGAAACTTTAACGTCGCCACTCCCGACAGCCCATCCCTCTCTCTGCCTCCTTTTCTCCCTGCACCTGTCCCCAGCTGGCAGGCCATGCACTGAGTTAGGAAGGAAGGAACAGAGGGGGGGACTCTGCCGGGGAGCCTTAGTGGACTCCATGAAGCGTCCCACGGCCACCATGAGAAGGCCGCTCACCGGGAACTATCGGGCCCACCGTTACAAAAATAGAACAGGATTTTGAAAGGAGAGGGAAGGAACTTTCTTCATTCCCTAGCTCCTTCTGTCTGTTACTCATTCATTCCTCACGAGACCCTATCAGACAGGTGTTTTCACTCCACGTTCCACCGCTCAAGGTCGCAGAATCATGCAGCTCAGAGCCAGGACCAAGGCCAGGTGTGCCCTGCTCCGGACCCTGAGTCTCCTGTCTGCACAGCCTCTGCATCGAGGGGGCAACAAAAATGCAGGCCCCTCTAGTGCATGAGCCTTCTTCTCACGCGTGTCCATCCAGGGATCCCAACGGCCTGGGTCCAGACTCGGAGAGGAGGCTGGGGGCAAGGACCTGACCCTTTGGAGCCATGAGCTTGCATCCTCCCCACCGAAAGGAACCGAGGGCCTGTGCCCTGCTCTGGGTTCCTGCCCGTCAAAACTGTCTGCTCGCATCAGGACCGGGCCTCTGACGTACAAAACCCAGGCCCTGCCTCGGGCTGGTTTCAGGTTTCGCCAGCACAGTAAATCGGCGTGTTTTTATTTCTCCATCTGTAAACATCTCTCCATCTAATATAGTAACTGCTGTTTATACAGAGCTATAAAAACAGAGGTCAGAGCACAATAAGATTATAGTCTTACTTCAATACATCCAATCCATAATAAAATAAAATCTTACAAACGATCCAGAGGACCCGTTTAGGGGTCCTTTAAGAATTAATGTCTGTCGTATGTAAGGATTCTATTTGGGCATAATATTTTCCACAGCTGTCAGGACCCATTTAAAAGGCAATATCCTTCCCCTGGCATTTGACTTAGACTCTGTTTATACCACATGGAGGGTTGTTAATTCTGCCACATCTGACTCAGAGATGTTTGATTACACCGAGGCCACCGCCAAGGGGACGACGCATGATGGAGCATGAGGTCGGGGAACGGGGCTGCGGCCCGCCTCTCGCCAGGCGATCTGTCACTGATGGGCTACGCCTGCAGGGATGGGACCCAGCAGTGGGGGAATGAGACGTTCTGCTTTCCGGGCAGCGTGTGCTGGTGGCAAAAAGAACTTTGGCACAAGATGGAGGACATGGCCCAGCCACATGCTGGTGACGGGCCTTAGGTGAGACCATTTGCCTCCGGGAGATTGGGTTTCCCAGTTAGTAAGTGGAGAGCAAGGCCAGTACCTCTCAAGGTGCGATGGGCTGAATCACGTCCCCTCAAATTTCATAGGTTGAAGTCCTATTCCCCAGGTCCTCAGAGTGCGACTGTATTTGGACACAGGCCTTTAAAGAGGTGATTATGTTAAAATGAAGTCCTCTGGGTGGGCCCTGATCCAATCTGACCAGTGTCTTATGAGAAGAGGACACACACACACCCAGAGGAAAGACCAGGTGGAGACGCAGGAAGAAGGTGAGCAGGCAAGCCAGGGAGAGAGGTGTCAGAGAAACCAGTCTCCGCTTTTCCTCCTGCTGATGTAACAAACTAGCACAAACTCAGTGACTTAGAACAATACACGTTTATTCTCTCACAATTCTGGAGGTCGGAAGTCCAAGATGGGTCTCACTGGGCTAAAATCAATGTGTCAGCAGGCTCCAGGGGAGAATGCACTGTTCTTCCAGAAGCCTCTTCCAGCTTCGAGAGTCTGCCCACATTCCTTGGCTCATGGCCCCTTCCTCCATCTTTAAAGAGGGCAGCGGAGCATCTTCCAGTCTCTCCTCTCTGCCTCTGCCCCCTTAGGCTGGCACATCTCTTTCCACTGGCACCGCTTCCACTCTTGCACTGAGCGGCCCACATGAGCCTCTTAATATGCAAATCAGATCATGTCTCGCTCACAGGGACTGGGCCTCGGGGTGGCCCCTCTGCTCCAGCTCCCGATGCCTCAGGTTTCCTCTCCTGGACAACTCTGTTCTCCTCACACTGGCCTTCTGGTTCTTTCTGGAACACGCCAAGCTTGTTCCACCACCCTTACTGTGCCCTCCGCACATCTCACACAGAGACCCTCACTGCCTGCAGGAGTCTGCGCAAACAGCTCTTGGTCAGGCAGTGCCTCCCTGACCATGCTATCTACATAACAGCCCAATCCTCCGGTTCCCATCCCCCCAAGTCTCTCCACCTGCTTCCCTAACGGCACGCTTCTGCATAGGATTTGTCATTGTCTGACGCATATGTATCTGCTGATTGTCTGTCTTCCCCACGAGGGTGCGCACTCGGTGGGAACAGGATGTGGTCCGACTGAATCCCCAGCACTGACGGGCACAGGGGATGCGTACACACAGTCACGGCTGGACAGACAGGTGTGCCCTTTGAGTAATCTGCAGTTGAGGTTGAAACCTCAGACAGGTCACTAGAATGGCTCTTGAACCAGAAATCGTCTGAGTAGGAAGCCTCTCTGGATGGCCCTGTCCTGCCTCGCCCATGCAGGAACCTCCAGGGCTCTGTGCCCAGCTAGTCTTCCACGTGCCCTAGGTTGAGAGCTGAGCTTCCCTGACTGCCCTAGGAGTCCCCCAGTGGCCGGGATCCGTACTCAGCTTTTTCCAGGATTCCAATAAAGAGATCGATATGGATTGGGCTCTTAGTACATGTTTGAGGGACAGATAGATGGTTGGTTGGGTAGATGGAAAGGTAGCTGGATGGAAGAAAGACAGATTTGTGGGTCGGTGGATGGATGGATGGATGGATGGATGGATGGATGGATAGACGGATGGATGTACAGAAGGATGGATGCTTAGATGAACAAATGGATGCATGGATGGATGAATGCATGGATACATGGATGCATGGATGCATGGATGGATAGATGGATAGATGGATAGACGGATGGATGGATGGATGGATGGAAGGAAGGATGGATGCTTAGATGGATGGCAAGGAAGAGGATACCAGGGATGGTTGGTGAACGGATGAAAATCAGCAGCGTGGAGCACATCCTCCAAGGCAGCCTGTGTCCTCTGGAGAGAACTGATCGGCACAAAGCCCTTCCTTGAGTTGACTGGAGTCCATGTCCCTGTGTGACACAACACTGTTTTTCCAAGAACTGTCTTCTTTTCATTTTTTATAGTTATATAGATGGAAGAAAAGAGCAACAGGGCTTATGCTCCTTGCTTTGCTCTGCGCTCCCGGCCAATGCCTCTGGCAGACCACCACCCACCGGATTGTAGCCTGTTGGGTGCATTTCCACCACGACACCATGGGCCCTCAGCGTCCAGCACAAAGACACCAAGATCCCAGCTCACAGTAGGGCCCCCACACCTGCTCTGCTCATTCACCCTCGGTGACTCCATTACAAAAGAAGCCTCCCATGGGGGGTCGTGGGGAGATGGAGCTTGTGAGCCCTTAAAGAAAGGCAAGCAGATACTTCATGTCCACCCATCCCCGGAGTCCAGCAAGAATCACTGTGTGCTTTAAAAACATATATTAAGTCTGAGGCCCATGTTCTCACCTACTGAACCCTCAGAACAAGCCAGCTAGGTAGCATCACCGCCCATTCTGTAGCCAGGGGAAATGGACGTTGAGTCTAAACTGCTCTGCCCAAGGCCACAGGGCTAGTACAGGGCAGAGCAGGCCCTGAGCCCGGGCCTCCCGCCTGGCGCTCTGAGCACCCCCACACTGACAGAGGTGGGAGGCAGCCCCGAGCGAGTGCCTGCAGAAGGGGCTGCCAGCAGGGTGACGTGGGCCTCTGTGGGCTTCTTAATTCTGCTCTATTCCTACAGAGTTCATCGAACATCCCAGGCAGGGAGGACCCCAACGCCCATCTGGTACACAGGGACACCTGCACAGAGAGGAAACTGAGGCACATAGCAGGAAAATGGCTTGGCCATGGTCACAGAACAAGAACGCAGCAGAGGTAGGCCTCGTCTGGGCATCCTGCCCTCTCCACACCACCCCTATTTCCCTGCTCTGTTTCTACCTGCTCGGGAACCCATTTCGCCCTTCACAGCTCCCTGGCTTGACCCTTCCTGGGCCATGCTGGATGCCCAGAAGGCTCCATTGGAGTTCATTTCAGGTTGCCCGATCTCAGGCTCTTACTCCTACTGGCGTCCACTCCTGAGAAGGTGTATTAGTCAGAGTTCTCCAGAGAAACAGATCATTAGAATGTGTATAGAGAGAGAGAGAAAGAGACCTGCTTTAAGAAATTGGCTTTGCACAGTTACGGAGACTAGCAAGTCCAAAATCTGAAGAGTGGGCTGGCAGGCTGGAGACGCAGGGAGAATGCCCATGTGGCAGCTCTAGTCCAATGGCTGTCTGCTGCAGGATTCCCTCTTGCTGAGGGAGGTCAGCCCTTTGTTCTATGTGGGCCCTCAACTGATTGGTTGAGGCCCACCCACATTAGGGAGAGCATTCTGCTTTTCTCAAAGTCTACCAATTTGAATCATTCAAAACCACCCTTACAAAAACATCTAGAATAATGCCTACCCTTTGCTGAGTCCTTAGCTCAATGCCCTGCCGTCCTGTTTCGGGGCAGACCCACCGCTGCCTCCCCCACCACCCCCTTCTGGAAGCTCCCCTGCCAGCTGATTCAGCCAGGCCCTTTGGACCCCTCCCTGGCATCTGTCCATGTGGCCACCAGCACAGCCCACCCTGGAGCTGATCTCCCTTCCCTACCACACACATACCCACACACATGCACTCAACACACACACCCCAACAATACGCACATATGCACACACCACAGATATAAGCACACATGCACTCAACACACACACCCCAACAACACGCACATATGCACACACCACAAATATAAGCACACATGCACTCAACACACACACCCCAACAACACACACATATGCACACACCACATACATAAGCACACATGCACTCAACACACACACCCCAACAACACACACATATGCACACACCACATATATAAGCACACATGCGCCTCAACACACACACATGTACCCATCACAGGCACGCACACACACACACTACCCCCAGGACTGGGCGGCTCTCCTGATTTGTAACAGAAAATGTTTGATGTATGAGATCCCCTTTTGCCTCCATGCTGATGTGAGAGCCAGCCACCTCCAGCTCTCCTAAAGGCCTGTCATCCCGGATAAATGGTTCTAAATATTACACAGCTTTGTTCAAAAAAATTATTCATAGAGTCTTCCCCTGTGCCGCACGACGCTGCATTCCGCGTGTACAGAGATGACAGGGAGAACGTGTGACGTGTTCTTCTTGGCATCATCACGTGACTTGCAGGATTGTGTGGCTGAGGGCTAAGTGGATGCCTCACACAGAAAAGGGGCTGATGATCAAGCATTTTCCTTCACCCCACAGTTACTGAGCCGCTAGACGTGTCCCGGGGGCTTGACTGACCCCTCTGAAGGCTCCCACTGGAGGATGCTGCTGTCTCAGGCATGAGCTGCCCCTTGGACAGCCCTGTCCCTCTGTCGCTGGGAACCCCCAGGCGTGGTCTGTGACCCCAGGGACGCTTCTCCACAGAGCCAGAGCATGGGCTCCATCGCTCTGAGGGCAGCATCCTCTGAGCCATCAGTCACCGAGCTCCTGTGAGCGGCTCCTCTGTGCCAGGCCCAGGGACACTGAGAGGGATGACCAGGGACCTGTCCCCAGGGAGAAGGAGGATGAACAAACCCACATAGCCAATCTCGTCCTCCCGGGTTAGAGGCTACACCAGCGCAGGTGGCAAGAGTCAAGTAGAGCCCAAACACACACACGGTCCACCTCCCTCCCACCCCCTCAGGGCACCCCACCGGGCCTGGGGTCCCAGCCGCCTCCTAGAAGGTCAGCCCAGCCGTGTCCCTTCCTGCATCGATCTCGTCACGCTTCCTCACTCCCCACCAAGCTGGCTGGTGTTTGGAGCCGCATTTGAGAGAAAAGATGCACCTGTGAGTTCCTGGGAGCTGGGGCTGAGGGAGGGATGGTGGCCCGGCCACAGCCACCCACAGGTGGGTCCCAGGCATCGCCCGTGGGCCTGAGGGGAGGAAGGGAGGAAGGGAGGAATCACCTGCATTACTTAAATTGGCTTTTCCTCCCGTCTTTTCGCTGGTTGCATATAGTTGAACGTGAATATGAAATGGTGGTCAGCGCAACTCCACTGTGAGTGAAATTACGGTCCAGAGGGCTGTGCCCCACGAAGCAGGGTGCGGGTCTCTGCGGGTCTGGGACTCATTCTTTGATGCCTTCATATAAACGTGCACATCAAGAGCTTCGGCCGTGCAGCAAAGCCGCGTGGGTTCCACTTACGAAAAATAGCTAGCTCCACAGAGCAACATAACGAGGACATCCACAGAGGCCGGGAGACCGGAGCCTCAGCCCAGCGCCGCTGTGTGTGGGGGTGGCCATGTCACTAGCCTCGTCCGCACCTGCACAAGGAGCAGATTACAGGAGGCAATCCTCAGGGCCTCTCTGGCTCTAACAGTCCTGCACACGTGGAATGTTCTGGGCTCTCTCTAGATTAGCAGCCAGTGGTAG